GCGTTGAACTTGCGACACACCTGGGTTCCGTCTTTCAACCGATCGCCCAACTGCGCGCCCTTGCCACCTGTCCGCTGGCTCCGCCCGACGCTCGTCGGCGGCCGCTGCGGCCCGGGAGCTGGCGGTGAGGGCGGGCTCCACATGACCTCGCGAGTCTGCAAGCCCTCGCGGATTATCTTCCCGACGCTCAGCTCGCTGGTGCGGACCCTGTCCGTCCACCAAGCGCGCTCCTCCTCGTCCCGACGCACGACGTTAGGCAGCGCTATCGAGAACGGCATCGCACTGGCGTACTTGACCACACGGAAATGGTAGGCCATCGCGACATCCAACGGAATCTGCACGAAATCCGTCGTATCCGAAGACGCCTTCTCTGGCGTTCCGGGCGCCGGGTCAATCGGCTTCACCCCAGCGCGCGCGTATGCCACCATGAGAGCCTGGTGCAACGCGATATAGGTTTTCAAGTCCTTCGCGGGATCCGGATCTTCCTTGTCATCGCACACGAATTCGACATCCCCAATGCGCTGCCGCTTCCTGGCAGCCCTCGCGGCATTCAGCAACGTGCGGACCTTCCATACACTCATCATCGTCACCTGGCGCCTGCCGACTCTGGGGGGCCGCGCGCGCGACGCGGTCACCCCCTCCGCGTGCAGTGGGACGCGCCTGCCCAGCTCCCTGCTGATCTTACTGACCAACGCTTCGGACGGCTCACACTCCGCTGGGTACGCCATCTTATACCGAGCGAAGAACTGCTCGCTCAATTCAGCGAGCTGCGGCGACGGCAATGGGACATCGTCGCTCTCGTCCAAACCGCGCCTCTTCCGGGTCTCGGACTCCCGGGCGGCATCGCACACGGCTTTCCACGCCTGCCGCACTACGCGCTCGAACTGCGGCGCGGGCCAGGCAGGACCCCCCCCCGCGCAGGCGAAGGCCGCGCCTGGCGCACGCGGGCAGCTGTCCCAGCCTCCTCTCGAGATCCGGCACGCGCTCGAGGATCGGCGCCCACTCGTTCTCGCTCGTGACGGCATGCGCGAAATCGACCAACGTCTCTAGACCCACGGTTTCGACCAGGTGGGTGGCGATGCGCTCATCAAACTGATACTTCGCGGCCAGCTCTCTGAATTGTGCAGCGGCGTCGCGAGCGCCGACGCGCCCCGGCAGCGCAATGCCGTCAACTGACAAAGACATACCGAGAACCACACGTGTCGCTCCGCTAAACCTACTCTCTGGACCGCGTTCGAGCCCACCTCGGGGCGCGCATACGCATCCGTTAAGTTGGCATTCGCTGGCAGGCCCACGCGCAACTCCGCGCGTCTCCGCCGCGATGACGTCACCACCTCACGCCGGGGCTGCCCGGCCGCGCAACTTTTCACACGCCGCGCACACCAGGGCTCCCTCCGGGAGCGCCGGGAACCACTGCAGATCACTCAATCCATTCTGACATAGGTTCGTCACTGGCCCGAACTCACTGTCCGTCCAGGCTCTGGACTTTTTGAGGCGACGAATTACGGGCATCGCGACGTGATATCGAGGCCCCATAACCTCCCTTACCCGGGTAGCCCTCCCAGGCTCAGACTGCACGTACCCGATCGCGCCCCGCGGCTCGGGCGACGGGCCCACGGCTCGCGACGCGCGCGCGGATGATCCCTCCGCAACCTGCCTGACTGGCGGCGCGCAGTGCGCTGGCGCGCCATCTGAGCCCTTTACGTCACATTGACCCAACTCCGCGCCCTGCGCTGCCTCGTCACCTGGAAGCGCGGTCACCGCGCGACCGGCGCAGTCAACTCCCCGCGCTTGGAACGCGGCCGGGCCTGCACGGGTTGCGTCTCCCGGCCGCACCGACACTTCATCTCCCCTGGACCTGGGGATGGAGACAGCCTCCAATGCCGCCCACGCCCGGGCACAATACCGCTGGGCCGCGCGATCGACCCGCGGTTCGCCCTGCGCGGCCCGCAATGGCAACCGACGCCGGACTGGCGCGCGCTCCCGCCTCTGCTGGTCGCTTGTTTTTGCCGGCAACTTTCGGCGCTCTGCGTGGACTCGCAGGCGCAGGCAACGCGTTCCCACGCAAACCGCCCGGCGCTTTACCGCGCCCCCCCCGCTTTGCACGCGGTGCCCCCGACGCGAGGGTTTGCGCAGCGCGCGCACGCGCGCCCGGCGCTTCGGCGCCCGCCCCCCCCTCACCGCTCTTACCCGCGGCGCCCCCGTCGGCAGGACCCCGACAATTGGGTGGAGGCGCGCCCGGCGCTTTACCGCGCCCCACCCGCTGTCCACGCGGGGCCACGATTATCCGGAGAAACTTCTGCCGCCTCAACTCCTCGACGACCGACGGGGGCAAGAACGCGGCCTTCTCACGAACGGTCGACACCGCCACCCGCTGCTGCGCCTCTTTCTCTAGGTCGGCCAACATTACTTTTCCTGGCGCAGAACTCGCCCAGCATCGCACTTGCTCCCACTGCACTGGGGCCTCCAGATCGGTCCGCAGGCACGACAACACTCCGGCCATGTGCAGGCGCGTGCACATCTCGGCTTGCCGCCGACGCGCATTATACACGATCGGCATCTGGTTCCGACGGGAGTTGTCTCCCCCCTCCGTCCAACCGCCCGAGATGACTCGGGCTTCCCAGTCCAATTGTATCGCGCTCGCCCATGTAGGCCCAGCCCGGCGCAAACTGTACGAAGTCACAAGATCCAACTGGGAATCGTCCGCTAGCGAGCCTCGGAATACTTCCTTCAGCGATCGGTTAAAGGCACCCAACTTCACCGGCGCGCCGGAAACTGGATCGAAGACGAGCCCCGTCGGCACAGCCCTTCCTGCTCGATCTTCCCGCGCCGCCAACTTGTGCCAACCATCCCACAAGGCGTCAGCGGCGGACCGCGCGCCACCTAGCCGCCTCGGCAAGCACCAATCGAACGAAGGTCGCCCCTGTCGCTTTCCCTGCTTCCCCCTCGATGCGCGGAACCAGCAAAAATAAACAGACTTCTCTAAAGGCCTAGAGCGCAGCAGGTGCGTGTACCTCACCCACGCGAATACCACCGCCAGCATCCCAGCCGCGAGCATGACTTGCCCAGGCGTTCTCGCGCCATCCAGGAAATCGATCACATGGTAAATCATCTCGGGTTCGACGACAGTGGCCTGGGCCGGCGGTGCTACGGTTCCACTGCCTGGATCACGTGGCACAGGGCGAAACGCATCGTCCAGGCAGAAAGGCGCTTTCAAATGTACGCACATCCACTTCAAGGCGTTCCAGATCCTGACGCCGGACGTCCGTGCGATCGAGAGCTTATGCACGAACTCGGCGACTGCCATGGGTTGCCGCGCCAGACTCGTCGCCGGCTGCCCTTGCCGGCCCGCCCACTCGGCCCACTGCCCCCACACGCGCAAGGCCGTGCGCAGCGTCCCGGATTCGAAATTACTCAGCCTAAACACCGCCGCGGACGAGACGTCGGCGAGCATCTCGGCCTGCGCCTCCTGCAACCCCTGCCCGAGGCCGCTTTCCGGGCGCCATTCAAGCGACACTCGAACTGCGCTGACCGCCAGCTGAACGCGCCCCTCACGCTCTGCCGCCTCCGTCGCCACTGCGGCACAGCGTCTCGGCCGACCGCGGCGCGCGGCGGTAGGCCCACGCCCTTTCCCCGCCGCGGCCCCCGCGCTCACGGCGGGCGCGGCGGCCGCCGCCGCGCCGCCAAATCGCCCCTCCGCGCAAATGCCATGCGCGGGCACCAGCCACGGCGTCACCCGCGCCACGTCCCGAGCCACGGCCCAGGCCGTGGGCACTCCACACTGCTCCGCCTCGTCCGTCGAGCAAAACAAATGCGCTAAATCGCCAGCCGACTCCAGTCCCTCTCTCTGCACGAGCGCAGAAAGGGACTCGCGCTCGGAGGAATCGACCCTCCAATCTAAGAACTCTTCGATGAAGAGCTCTCCGCGCTGCCCGGCCATCAAGCAGCACACAAGCAAGAAACAAACCAACAGCAACCGCTGTCGCCAACGCGCTTTGCTCGCACGATCCAATTGCGCGCTCTGATGCGCGCAGTCCCTGCGAGCGCGCGCGGGCGTCCCCTTCTGTCATGATTATGGTTCCCTGACCCGAGCCTCCCCGAGCCTAAAGTCAACGCAGGAACGCAACGAGGCATGCTCGCCCCGGGCCGCCCACCCAAGGCGCGCGCGACTTGAGATGGTTTCGAGCAGTCTCGATTCTGGGAATATGCTGGCCGCCTCATGTGGCTGGGAAAGACAAAGGGAGGGGGGCGGGGAGGGGGGCAAAATGGTTGAGAGAAGCATGCCAGGAGCAGCCAGGCACACACCTCCGTTGGCGACCATCGTCGGTTAGCAACGTTGCTTGTAGCCTCTTGAAATGCATTTTTCGTCCTCCTGCCCCCACCCTGACCAACATCCCCCCACCCCACACACACATATACGATTCCCTCGCCCTTCTCATCCTCATCCTCCTTTCGGGGGCGCGCAAACATGGATTAGCGATCCATGGATTTGGCGCGCGGTCGCCAAATCCATGGATCGGGGGAGGTGCCCTCCGTAAAATGCGGACGGTGCCGCCTCGTTCGACGGCGGAAGGGATTTCCCATGTAAACGGGACCTGTCGCTAATCTACGACTCCGTAATCCATGTTTGCGATCGCCTGATCCTTCCCTTCATCCATGCACCCAGCTCCTCTTTCTCATGACTCTCTCCTCCCTCCCTCCCTCCCTCCATCCTTCCCTCCCTCTGCTAAAAGGGCCGTGCCCGCGCCCCCACAATGCCGCCTCGCTGGGAGGACTCCATCCATCCATCCATCCATCCATCCATCCATCCATCCATCCATCCATCCTACCTCCCTCCCTTCCTCCCCCCCTCCTCCTCCTCCTCCTCCTCCTCATCCTCCTCCTCCTCCTCCTCCTCCTCCTCCTCCTCCTCCTCCTCCTCCTCATTTCCTCCTTCTCCCCTTCCTCCTGCCCCTCCTGGGCCCCCCAAAATGTGTGACCCGAACACTGGGCCGCCGAGCCTGGTGAGCATCCCCAAGGCCAGCCAGCCGCCGGCCGAGGCGAGGACAATCAACGCGGTCGCAAGAAAGAGCAGCTCGCTCGCCTCGCCGCCCTCTTCCGCGACTTCCCCCTCCTCCTCCTCACCCGCCTCTCCCTCCTCCTCTCCCTCCCTCTCTCTCTCTCTGTCTCGGCCCCTGTGTCGTTCAGGCGCAGCCGCCACCACCCCAAGGCCGGTCGGCCGTGAGGGGGGGGGCGGATCAAACTAACAAGTCTCCCTTAGCGGCACCGTCTGGTGCGCCAGGGGTGGACCGCGCCCGCCGGCGGGCCGCGGGTCCTCCTCCCCCTCCTCCTCCTCCTCCTCTTCCTCCTCCTCCTTCTCTTCCTCCTTGTCCTCCTCCTCCTCCTCCTCCTCCTCCTCCTCCTCCTCCGCCTCGTCCTCCTCCTGTCGGCTGCTGCTGACAATGTTATGGACCCTAGCAATGGAGCTGTGAAGGAGCAGGGCTCGGCCGAGGCCAGTGAAAGGCCCACGTCAGGAGGGGGTCAGCAGGTGGGCTCTCGCTTGATGCGCTCCCTCGGGCTGGGAAGCCACAGCTGTGGCCAAGTTGCATGGTTTTGTCTCCACTGATGACCTCTAATGCGGGAAAGACCCTGCGAGACGACTCAGGTGGAGGTTTCCGAGCTCGGTGACGGCGGCTGAGCTAAAGTGTGTGCCAGACGAGCGAGGGGCAACCTGCTGTGCCCACTTTGTCAGCACCCGTAGCACCCTCCTCCTCCTCCTCATCATCCTCCTCTTTCATTTCCTTTTCTGGTAAATAACTTTTCCCTGTCGCACCCCGAGGCCAATTTTTAGGGCGGGCCGGGCGTTTCGCCTGAGACTTCCTCACCATTCATGACTCTGGAATTAAAAAAATGACAACAGTTTCACTAATAGAGGGCGGGTGGTTTCGAAAATGTGGCTCTCGCCTTAGCGCCGCGCACATTCTTTTTTAACATTTGCAAGAGCTTCACGGATTGAGGGCAGCTCCTTTTCAAAATGTGGCTCTCGCTTTAGCGCCGCGCACATGCATATTCATATTGTGCAAGAGTTTCACGGGTTCCCATCATAATCGTACCAGACATTGTGTTTTGGAAAGATTCTGGATGATGCGGGCGCAATAGTTATGTTAATTCGCGGTGTTGAAATTCCAAACATGGCTTTCTGGCACGGTTCCAAACCGTCAGGACGTAGCAGTCAGGTTGATCCGTGGCGTGGAAAACCCGAGAACAATGTCTTGGCTTGCTTCAAGGTCTTCAAACGGTTGTCTTCCAACGAGGCAATCCCCTCAATGGAAGTGAACCGTTGTAGGGGCCCATGAAGAAGGAGATTGGAGGGAGGGTTCATTCCAACATCGTTGGACTCTTGGGTTTACACTAGTCCTCCTCCTCCTCGTCCATTCCTTTTGGGCGCCCGAGTTATCCGGGGTAGCTCGGGTCCGGGGTAACTCGGGCTTGGACTCCCGAAAAAGGAACCCGAGTTATCCCTGACCCGAGTTACCCCTGATGATTCTGGGGCTCTGGACGCCCGAGTTATCGGGGGTAACTCGGGTCCGGGGTAAGTCGGGCTTGGACTCCCGAAAAACGAACCCGAGTTAGCCCTGACCCGAGTTACCCCTGATGATTCGGGGCTCTGACTTGGGTTTACACTAGTCCTCCTCCTCCTCGTCCATTCCTTCTCCCAATGAAGAATCCGCCGACTCCGGAGGCGTGCGCGATCACCCCTCGGGCCTTGTCCTGAGCTCTTCAACCCTGCCCGTGGGCAGAATCCAGCAGAGACCCCTGCAAAAAAGCGCTGCGGTGCCCCCCCGCCCCGCCCCCACCACGCCTCCATCACCCCACCACGCCTCACAGTGCCAGCTTCCTGGCGCCCCTGGGCACGGGCTCTTAGGGCCTCCCGCCCTACAAAAACCTCGCTGGCACCTCGTGCACCACGCCTGACGCCGCCAGCCTCCTGGAGCGCAAAGGTTCTAAAGCCACGCAACATGCAAAAACGTCGCCGGCAAACCCCCCACCACGCCTGACACCGCCAGCCTCCTGGAGCCTCTGTGCACAGGTTCTTAGAGGCCACCCACCCTGCAAAAACGTCGCCGGCACGCTCACCTTATGGAGGGGGCGAGGACGATGGGGGAGTCCATTTCCTGGGTCCTGGGCGCCCTCGCTGAGGGAGCGCTGATGCCCTCGTAGCCCAGGTGGTTGAATGCGTGACGTGGCGTGCAGCGTCGGGGTTGGAAGTGGGGGAAGTGGATGCGGGAATGCCGGGTTGCGGGGCCGGGTGGGGTGGGTGGAAGGGTGCTGCTGGGCATGCCTCGCAGCCCTTGCGCCGCCCTGAGGCCCGTCAACTGGGAGCCGAGAGCCGCGCTGACCAGGGGGCGAGGGTGCGAGCAGGCCATCAGACGCTGCGGCGCTGCTGGTCACAGCCCAGGCCAGTCACCTCGCGGTAGTGCTCGTTTCCGCCTTGGTGGCTGTGCTGCTGGTTGCAGTCGAGTCGCTGCTGCTGGTCGGAATCGCAGTGCACGTGGTGCTGCTGCTGGTCGCTGGGTAGAGCGTCTGGCGCGGGGTGGGGCAGGGCGCCGTCCTGGTGCTGCTGTCCGCAGCCCATGCAGCTGCTGCTGCTGCTGCTGCTGCTGCAGCTGCTGCTGCTGCTGCTGCTGCTGCTCGTCCGTTGATGTGGAACGTCGGGAGCCAGCAGTCGTGCCAGGCTCAGAAGCCATGCTGGCGTCGAAACTGGAGTCAATGCTGGTGTTGGTGATGACGTAGATGATTGCCCTGGTGCTGGAGACCGCGCCATCTTCGATGATTGCGTCGATGTTGAGGTTGATGCTGGCATCGGTGCTGGGGTCGGTGCTACGGTCGGAACTGGTGTCGATGCCGGCTGTGGGACTGGAGTCGCTGCTGTCTTCAGTGCCTGTTCCGATGCTGGCGTCGCTGGTCGCGTCGATGTCGGGGTACATGCCGGCGCAGGCGCGGACGTCGGCGCCGGCTCCTGTGCCGGAGAAGGTGTTGTCATCGGTGCTTGCGTCGATGCTTGCTGCGAGCCTGGAGTCACTGCCGTCTTCGCTGCTGGCGCTGGTGCTGGAGTCGATGCTGACTGAGGTCGGAACTGGCGTCGGTGCTGGGGTCGGTACTGGCGCTGGTGCTGACGCTGCGCTGGCTGCGGTACTCGGGTCACTGCTGTCGTCGGCACTGGTGCCTTTACTGGCGTCGGTGCTGACGTCGGTGCTGGCGTCGATGCTGGCTTCAGTCCTAACAGTCGACGCCGCTGTCGATGCTGGCGTCGATGCTGGTGCCGACGATGTAGTCGATGGTGTGTCCGAAGCTGTTGCTGGTGCTGGCGTCGCTGCTGGTGTTGATTCTGGGGAGAGTGCTCGTGTCGGTGTTGACGTCGGCGCTTGCACCGATACTGGGGTCGACGCTGCCATCGTTGCTGGTGCGGATGCTGGCGCCAGTGCTGAGGTCAGCACTTTGGACGATGCCAATGACGGTTCCGATGCTGACGTTGAAACTGGTGTCGATGCTGCCGTCGATGCTGTCTTCGCCGGTGGGGTCGGTGGCGTGGTTTCGGGCTCTGATGCTGGAGTCGATACTGTCCGCGGTGCGCGCGTCGATGCTGGCGTCGATGAGGGCGTCGGTGCTGGCGTCGATGCTGGAGACGACGCCGGCGACGGTGCGGAAGTCGATGCGGGCTCCTGCGATGGCGCCGATTCTAGCGGCGATTCGGGGGTCGATGCTGGGCGGGGTGCTGGCGTCGGAGCTGAAAGGTGCTGGTGGTTGACATAGATACTGGCTTCGGTGCTGGAGTGAGTGGTGTCTGCGATGCTGGTGTTGATGCTGAGATTGAAGGTGGCGTTGGCGGGTCAGCATTCGCGTCTGCGCCGCCACGCACTTCGAAGCCTCGCGGTGCAAGCTATCGCGCCCCATCCACGCGTCCGATAGCATGGTGGCCGACATGATCGTTAGTGGCGTCGGCAAAGGCTGCAATACTGGTGTCACTGCTGTCTTCGGTTCTGGTGCCGATGGGGGCGTCGATGCTGGCGTCGACGATGGCGCGAGTGTTATATTTCGGTAGGGCGACGGGTGAAACGCGGGATGGGGCGTCGGGGAAGGGGCCGGGGGGTGCATCGGAGACGGCGTCGAGGGGAATGTCGGGCATGACGTCGTGCGGGTGGTCGGCGAAGCATGCGTAGGAGGGCTGCTTTTGATGCTGTCGCGTGGTCGATGCGAGGGTCGACGCTGGCGTGGGTGCTGGCGCCGATGCTGGTGTTGGTCTCGACGTAGATGCTGGCTCCGGTGCTGCAGTCAGTGCCGCCTCCAATGATGACGTTGGTGCCGGGGTTGGTGCTGGCGTCGGAGCTGGGGTCGATGTTGGCGTTGGTGATGGTGACACTGTTGGCGTCGATGCTGGCGTCTGTGCTGGTGTCGGTGCTGACTCTGGTCATGAAATATGCATATATTCGATGCTGGCGTCGATGCTTCTGTCAATGCTGTCATCGATGCTGGAATCGGTCCTGGTGTCGATGCTGATGTCTTTGTTGGCTTCGGTGATGCCGTCGATGGCGCTGATCCTCCTCATCGATCGCCTCCTCTACCTCCTCCTCGACCATGACCTTCGCCCCCCTGGTGATCATCCAGCTTGGCGTCGGGCCCGGCGTCGGCGCCAATCGGAGATGACGCGGACGCTGGCGTCGCGCTTGGCACAGGGCTTGGCGTCGGCACCGCCGACGACGCGGGCGCGAACGTCGGACTGGCGGCAGGGTTCGGGCTGGCCCTCGGGACGGTTTTTAGGGGATGCCAACCCATCCTCCGCCTGTCGGTGGCGGTCGCTGTTGTGGTGCTGCGGCTGTTGGCGGCGCTGCAGGTCGTAGTCGTGGTGGCGCTGTTGATGGTCGCAGTCGCGGTGCTCCTGGTCGTCCGGAGAGGCGTCGTGCGGTGTGTCGGGTATGGTGCCGGGGAGGACGTTGTGCTGTTGAGGCCAGCGTGGGTGTTGACATCGGTGCTGTCGTAAGCGCCAGCGGTGGCGTCGGCACGGGTCGACGCTCAGACGGTTGCTTCTCTGCGGCCGAAGGGGAT